GTTGCTTAAAAGTGTTATGAAATCTCACAGATAGCTATTTGACGTAACAATGACTATAAAACCATGTCTTGACTTTTGCTCTGTCTGAATCAACTGCCATTTTTGTGAAAAAACAACCATGTTGGATGCACAGGATCCCGTTTTGTCTGTCTGATTCTCAACACCTGTCCTAAATCCAAAACATGCAGGTGAGATTCCACACGCCTCTCTTTGACCACGTACAAACATGTTGTCAACCACTGATTAGTCGTCATCAAAAAGTAAGAATGAAACAACCAAACAATATGTTTTTATGTTCCTTGTTTTGTTCCTTTTTATCTAATGTATGTATTTATAGAGCTGTGAAGTGGGCGGAGCTTAGGTTTCAGGAAGTAAAATTCAACATTCAACATTCTTCATGGCTGTTTTGAATAATCCAAATATCAACAAATACGACATGACAGAGGCTAATTAGCTACCTGCTAACTACGATCCACAGCACCACGGTTTTGGCCGAATAAACACCAATACAACGCAAGTCTTAGATTATAGGTACATTTGATCTGTCTTTTATTTGCCTCACCAGCTCACCCCCAAAACACGTTTTCAATTATCATTATTTTCCAAAATCCCAAAATGGATTTTAAGCACCATATAATCACTTTAAAGGAAGAGGGAAAAACAGCAGACTAGTTAATTTATGCCTCTAGGGGCAATTCATTTGAGCAGCATAGGGCAAAAAAAAACACATACAAAAAACACAGGAAATGTCAAACAACAATAACAATAACAATATATGTAATGAAGGTATGAATGAATCCTTAACAATGTTGTCAAAAGACGAAAACAAAGATAAGATAAGAAAACCTTTATTCATCCCTCAGTGGGGACATTTCAATGTGATAGTGACAATAGCATGTTAGAGAATAGAATCTAATATTTAAGATGATACATAATAAAATACTAAGATTAAACACGTCTGGAGCTTTAAATGCACTTGAGTCAAAGAAGAGCAAGTAAAACGTTGCGGTAAAGTCATAAAAAATAAGATTAAAAAGTGCTATAGTGAATCTCAATTAATTACATCAATGCCCAAACCCTAACCGCACATACACGTTTTAATGAACCAACAATGACCAGAAAACATCCATCCTAAAATGACATCAAACGCAGACAATCCCCCTTTACCCCAGCGGTGTGTTTTGGCTGCGTTCCTCGTGGATTCTTTTGTTCTCCATTGTGCCAAATACATATGCATGAGTTCTGGTTGGGTGCACGTGAGGTGTGTCAAGCGTGCAATGTAAAGGTCGTGCCCCCCTGGCTGCGGCGGGACAGGCCTGCACAGCGCGCCCATCGCATCTATTTGAATAAAGTGTTGGTGTTTACAGCGGCTAACCTTGAGGGTAAGCAGCCCCTGGTTATGGATGTGTTCCCCCCTCGCCACTCGCCCCCCTCCCCACCCCTCTCTCATCAAGATTAATTGTCCGCTAGCTTCACCGATCTGCCTGTCAGTTTCCCCCCGGTGTCATGGGTTTGGATATTGTTTTATGCACAGCCGGGTACACGCTAGCATCACACGGGTTTTCAGTGGGTTTTCAGTGGGTTTACAGTGGGTTTACTCCGTGACCTTTATCTATCTGTAATACACGTCAGTATTATCACCTGTCCAACTCTAATGGGCTGGAGATTTACCATTAGAGAAGTGTCAAATGTGAGATTTGTGGAGCTTAAAGGTATTTAGAGCGATTTTGATTCTGGTTTTCCCCAGGGCATTAGATCCTATAGTTGCTGCTCTACTACACCTGCAGATTAGACATTTTTAAAGCAAATTTTAAAAATAATGCAACCATATATTTCTTATTTTTTTCTAATTATTGAATCCAGAAACATGTTATGCAGTAACGTGCCTAGCTTACTTCAAGTCTAGTCAAGTTTTGGTTTAGTCCAGGTTTGTTCAGAATGTCAAAAAACAATCGCCCCAATGTGGTCATAATACCTAACTCTTTAAAACTGATAAACAGATTCTTTGAAAACCTGTTCAAATATATGAGTTATGAGAGAGTGGGGTATGGTCAGAGAGGGTTTGAACCTGTATGTTGAACAATGGTTTAGCCTAAATCACATTACGTTGTTGAATTGCCAACACAGATTAGAGAATCAAACCCAGGAAATGCAGTAAGAACAATCATATAGAGCAGGCATGTCCAAACTCAGGCCCGGGGGCCAATTGCGGCCCTCTGTGTAATTTTATGTGGCCCTCTGCCTTGCTAACCCTAAGTAGTTCACCGTGTCATCCATCCATCTTCAGCTCAGCCAATATTGATTTATTTCTTTCTAAAGCCAAGTACGTCTGGAGTTCAGTCGTTGACTTGTGAGATGGTGGGACGGTAAACATGTGTCATTCAGCCAACTTCAGCTCCGTTATAGATCATCATATAGCTCAGAACAGTCAGTCAAGAAACGTTTTCAGTCTGTGATGTCGGCCCCTGGACTAGTCTGGTGAACTAATGTGGCCCTCTTACTTAAATGTTTCGACACCACATAGAGTATATGATCCATAAGGGGGAGTAACCAATGTCCATACATGTCATATATGTTCTTAAATTTCCATAAATGTCCGGATCATCACCACTGTCCTGAAACCCTCCTGCATCGGCAAAGAACAACTCAAAACGCAGTGGGAAAAAAGTGAGAAATCTCGGGCAGGCTCACAGAAAGAGATCCCCACCCACTGATGGACGCGCTATAGATCAATGTCCATACGCTGGTGAGGGGATACACGACAATAACAAGGTTGGGAACCAGTGATATGGCCTACAAGCGCAACAAAAGAGCCGTCCTTGGATCGATTGCGACATAGAATGAAACGCAAACATGACCATCACCTCTCCCCACTTCCCTGACCCTGTGTGGTGTGGTGTGTGTCGAGGCTCAGCGGGAGCTAAATCATTATGAACATAGCCCAACCTAACGACTCTTTGGACCTTCCATTGTAAACGCTGATTATGAAATATGGCACACTTTCTTCAGGGGACATTGCTTGAGGAAATGTAGTAAAACGCCCATGGGAAGCTGCATTCATCCATCACTCACACCATGGCTGTCCCGGGACCCCAGGAGGCTGCCCACTCCACTGCCTGAGAGAAAACAGCCGCTGCATTCGCCGTTCTGGGTCACTTATATTGTGGAATAATGGCGTCCTTGGCTGTGGCTCTGGCTCCTCCCTTTTCGACAGATCTCATTAGAAGATAAAGGTGACAAAGATAGCTGCTAATGCTGCAGAGAAATGTAACACCATTAGCGGGTCATTGTCACCGTCTAATGTGTCCTTTTAAGCCGCTTACTGAACTGGTGCTGAAGTGTGATACAGGGATTAACCTATCACAGAGCGAAGGAGGAGGAGGAGGAGGAGGGAGACGAGGAGCTGCCATTGATGGAATTGTGGATGTGTGCTGCATTTTGAGAGTCAGGTCTGAGGAGCAGAGGCCTCACTGGACATGTCATGCGTTTCCACGGGCGGTGAAAAGGCAGAAACAGACCGGTTTTGCACGTGCAGGATAAAAATGGTTGGGACAAAATGTTTCTCACGTCCTACTGCTGCTGATGCTGGGCGGGTCAAGCTGTTTTAAAAGCTATAAGATTATAGCACATTGACATCAAGCTCTACAATGATATCACATGATCACTAGCAACTTCCAAGCCTACAAACTATCTGTGAGTTAGAGGTCTTGCATTGGTCTGTGGAGGCTTAAATAATAATAATTTTAAATACTTACACACTCATTGAAAACAAATGACTGGTAGAGTAGGAGCTCTGTAGTAACAATCTAATTCAGCTTTAAGTTATACTTGCTTGTTGATGAAAGACAATTAAGGCAAAATTGGGGTTAAGCGTCTTACCCAAGGACAAAACGACGGCAGACATGAGTGGGAGTTGGTGGAGAAGGTCTTGTAGGGGGCTTGAACCCACGACCTTCAGACTCAAAGGCCATTCATGAGTATTTATGATAGTTAAATTCTTAATTTGGGAAGATACTTTTGTACGTTGTTATGTTGTGCTCACAGTGTATACATACACATGCAGATATGTCAATGTAGATTTAGAATGTATACTCTATTTACAATACATTTATATTTACTACTGTTACTGATACTGGTTTAGGTCGATACCATAGGCTTGTATTCGTACTCGTACTTATACCATTGTTAATTGTTTAAACATTTTCTGATTGTTGTCCAACTTTTTAAATGTCAGTTGTATTAGTTTCATGAATTCCCAAGGATAAAACAATGCAGTTGTTGTTTGGGTATTCGTATCGGCAAGTACTCAAATTAAGTACTCGGTTTTAAAAAAGTGTTTTGGTGCAACACGTTTACATTCATCACATAAACCATGATGTCATAAACATATAAACATGATTTTCTTCATGATTCTCCTGCTATCAGCGAGTGGTCGGTGGTTTCCTGAAGGCAGTGCTGGTGCTGTAGCCCAGACCTTCTCACTCTTCTGCTTCAACATTTATTCTTTGTAACAAATGTGCAACAGCTGGAGAGCCGGGGAGTGCATGTAAACGTAGTGTGTGCAATTTGGTGACAAGTCAGGCTTAATCAAGCTCCCAACGTCTGGATGAGAGGAGCGCACCAGGCAGCATATGGAGCAGAAAGAGCAGCACAGCTAACTTTAGTTCAAAGGAGACGACAGCAGCATAATACGCTCTTCCTTCTTTCAGACTGTTGTTCTTTGTGTTTTTACAGAGCAGTGTTTGCAAGAGCTCTGTGATTGATTGGGGTCAGAACAAACAGTCGCTGCTTCAAAACCTACGGATGCGACAGAGCAGTTGCAACACCATTTACAGCCATGAAAATGTCACTCTGTAAAAATGATGGAGAAAGTGTGTCCTCGTGAGGCCTGAGTGGGATGACAGATGTGCCCCAGACTCTGCTCCCACAGGAGAGAGTGTGTGTCCACTGGTGGCTGTAGTGAAGTGTGTGCAGGGCGTGACCTTCAGATCGCAGCTTTGTCATGTCTGAGCGCTGTGCCGCATCCACATGACACCTGTACAGGTGAGAACAGGTCATTCTGCTCGCCATAAATCACTACGGCAACTTGTCCTAATGTCCCACAGCCACTGTCCTGTTTGGGCCATGCCCCACATTTCCTGAAAGAATGAGATCATACAAACACAGCTTTTTAAACAGCGTTTGATCGGCCTCTTTCCAGACTCTGTGAGGAGCCTGAGAATCAAAGCTCAGTGCAGCGAAGGAAGCTTCCCTCATGATCACATCTGCAGAGCACTTCATCAAACTGAACAAGTGCAACTTTAGCTGTTATTTTAGCTGTTTTTGTAGCTGCACCTGCATGTAAAAGTCTGATCCTGATACAGCTCAGAAACTAAGCAGGGCAGGGCCTGTTATTACTGTGATGGGAGACCACTGGAAATATGCAACCAGCTGAAAAAGCGTCATCCAAGGAGCCGTCTGCACCGGGAGCAGTGGTCGGTGTGGCTGCGGGGGTCGGACTCTTGGGCCTGGTGGGGGCCTGGGGCCTCGGTTTCATGTCTCCTCTGGGTCCTGTGTCGTCCCTTGTGGCTACGGGCGGCTCTCTGCTCCTGGTGCAGACGGCTCCTTGGATGACGCTTTTTCAGCTGGTTGCATCTGAACCCTGCCAAGTCTCTCATCATGGCTTTATTGTTTTACTGGTGTGTGTGTGTGTGTGTGTGTGTGTGTGTGTGTGTGTGTGTGTATGAGTGTTCATGAGCGCGTGTGTGTGTTTGTCTGTGGTTTGGGGTAGGGTCTGTTGGGTGGTCTGGGGGAGGGGTCTTGGGTCGGCGGGATTGTTTTTAACCAAACTGTAAAGCACTTTGTGTTGCATCTTATGTATGAAAAGCGCTTTATAAATAAAATTTGATTGATTGATTGATTGATATTCTTCTTCTTTTAACTACAAATAGATTAAACATATCAGAACAGATGAGGCTCAGTCAGTTTCACTTGTTTCACCGCTCCAAGCCGCTCCTCCCAGTCACACTTAACATATCAACATTGAAACAAATTTGTCTAGATGGTTCTTATTTATACAAAACTCTCAATTATGATCGATAATAAAACTGTAGTCAGTCTAAATGTAGCAGTGTGAGCTGATGTGCGTAGAATAAGTCACCTCTTTGTACCGCTCGTCTTGGACGACGCTGATGTTGTTAAAAAACGTTAGAATTAAATGGTGTGTGGACATTGTTAGATGAGTGGAGTGTTGCCTCAGATGCATCTAAGTTTACTAGTGTGTGGCAGTCGTTTGTGGTGGTCAGTTGGAGAAACATGGGTCTCAGGATCAGGAGCCGCCTGACAACCGTCACTCGGTCGTTGTCCTTTCTGCATTGATTCTAGTTATTTCTATAACGGTTCCTGCAGGAATTGATCCTCTTCTTTTATAACTAAATGTGTGTCTGTATTAAATGTGTGAGCACTGTAACCTCCTCTGAGACTATAGTAAAAAGACTCAGAACACAGAACATAGTATTTACATCTCTTGATCAAAAATGATGCCTTTGTATCCGGCTGAGCTCAGGTGAGTGCAGGCGAGTGTGTGAGAGCAGAAGATCACAGGCCCCTTGGCCTTTGTGGCTGACATTAGCTTTGTGCTCTCTATGGGTTTTATCATAACAGTGCCATCACGTTTCCATTAGTGAAATATTAATATGCATCTCTGAAGATAATTGGCCCGGCTTGTCTCATGGCGCAGACTGTGAAACAATCCCATCTTACTGTCTCCTGCAGAACAAAAGAGGAGCAGGACGTCTTCATCCCCCTCTGAGTGCACCAGGCTGTTGCTGATTGGCCGTGCTTTGTGGCGGGCACCTGGATCTCCACACTTGTTTGATGTGGCTCTTTTGGAGCACTCTGATGGCCCTGCTAAATTGTGGCTAATGGACAGGGCCTGCAGACACGGCGACGCTCGCTGACACCGGCACACCTGTTCTCTGTAGTGGAGCAGCTGCATTAGTCTGAGCCCAACAGGCCACTTTCAAACCAGCATTGTGCCCAATAAGCCCAGGTGCCATTTCCTCAGCTGCAACAGCACATCCACAAATGGAAGCTACATTACACTCAGGTACAGAGTGTGGCTGTGAGCAGGTTCAAATGTTCACAAGTTGTTATATTTGGCAAATTGGAAAGATTTAGAACCAATCTCCTTTCTCTTTGTCATACAGCATTCACCCTCCTGTATGTACACGCACAAGCGTTATGGTAATACACATACTAGAGGGCACACTGGACTGTGGTTGGTTCAATGCGAGATCCTCCTGGGAGAGGCTTGAGGCCCTGTCCAGTTATACAGCTCTATGGTCCAGACTCAGGACGGAGACAATTTCGTCGTATCAGCAAACGCATTTTGTCTAATTTGGCTCTCGCCCACACAAAACCAGTGGATCCGCTCAGTGAATATGAGACATTCTGATGCCGAAACGTTTGAAACTCTGTATGTACAACTGTGTTTAATGCTTAATATGGAACATATTTCAACACGATGACATCACTACTCCAGCTCTGCGGTCGGTCTGTGTCCTGCACCAATCTGAAATATCATGTTTATTGCAGGATTTGTCATTAGAAAAATAATTGTTGTTCTGATCAATCAGGCACAAAAGAGTGGATTTATCAAAAAAAGGATTCAGGGCACTTAAATCCACACTAAATCCCATTTAGGCCCCTTGCCGCTGCTGGGGACAGGTTTAAGCAGTAGTACCCTATCCAGGTAATACAATACACACATGGGTGTATTATGTAGGAATACTTGAGTGATGCTATTTTGTTTGTTTGTGAATTTTGTTATTTATAAAGAAAGAAACTGTCACAGGGAGAAATTAAGAAAAAGGAGACCAAAAACGCAAAAATTGAAAATCAAATGTAATTTACTAAAGTCCAGAACTGAAAAACTAGATAGGACAAACATGGTACTGAAAATGGATGGACAGAAAGTGGGGAAAAGCCAAGTCCTGGCGATCCAAGATGGCTCCGTATTAAAATGAATGGTTTGTGCTCTCAGTGGCGCATGTGCCGGCATGGGCGCCGACATGGGCACATTAGTGACCTGTATTTGGGCATCGTCTGGTCCTCCCGGTTTTGCGCAGTGGATTATCTCCCATGATGTGTTGCGCCAAGTACGGCTCTCGTGTGCGTATGTGGCTCACATCAACGTGCAGAGAGGGGCTCGGCCGCGCTCTGACCAATCAGAGCTGCTGATCAGAGCGGAGCTAGAGCGGGAGTTAGAGCGGGAGCCAGACGAGCAGAGTTTGTGGCACTAAAGTGTGGATTTAAAGAAAACCGAAGGATTTTAGAAGAAAAAAAGTTCAGGATGACAAGGGACACTAAAATTCCCACAAAATCCAAACTTACTGAAAGTTGTAGGTTCTCTGTCAGCTGAGGTCCGATGGACCAATGGAGTTTGTGATCATTGCACTTCCTGTGTTCAAACAGATTGATTCTCTAATCTGTTCTTGAGAATCGATAACTTTGTAAAGTCCTCTGATACGACTGCTGGTGTGATTCAAGGCTACAGAAAAATAATTGGAAAGATGACAAGACATGGAAATCTTGTCAAGCAATAGTTTTTACTTCAGTACTTTAATACTTTTACGTTTACCAAAAGCGGGTGTTGTTGATGTTGACAACTATTTATCCTTTTACTTACAGCTGCGAGATCACCAGGAGACCAGTAAGATCGATCCATATAAACCCAGAGAATGGCCCTGCCGCTGAAATGACACATTTTGTTTGGTTGAATATGTTTCCGCCTCTGATAATGAACCATTCTGCTGCTTTTGTTGAAGTTGGCGACAGCAGGAGGCAGGGGGAGTGTCTGAGGGTGTTTCTGGGACTGACCAGGACCAGGTATGGATGCTGAGACCTGCATCCACACAGTGTGACACGGGGGGGTGGGGGGACAATGACTATGGTCCATTGCCAGAGGAAGTGATGAGCAGGTGGTCTGAGTGGGCTTCAGCATACTCTCTGTTCACACCACTGCGAGCTGAGCGGAGCTGTCTGTCTCTCCATTCACTTTTTATTTTTGCATTTCTATTTGGACGCATTCGTCAGGAAAAAATAAAGTAACTTGGCAAAGTTGATAAAGTACTTTCTTCAAGGCTGGCTCTGTCAGGGCACATGAAAGAAAGGCAGAGGAAAATGAAATACAACTCCATAATTTATCATGGTGGCAGAGTGGTTAGCGTTCACCTCTCAGCAGAAGGTTCTGGGTCCAAATACCAAACAGAACAGGGCCATTTTCCGAGTTGAGTTTGCATGTTCTCTCTATGCTTAGGTCTCCTTTGGGTTCGCTGCTTTCCTCTATAACTAAAACAATGCACAGAATGTATAATCCTCCAGCTCCGGTCCTGACCAAGAGAATCAACAACTAAAGATGGAAGTCGAGCATAATACTTAATTGTTACTAATTTATCTGGGAATGACAATATACATGAGTTTAAGCCAGACACAGGGTTCACCAGACAAGCTGTAAATAGAGAACTGATATAAAAACACAACAACACAAACTCCACTCCAGAACAGACCTTCCTCCAAGGGCCAGCTTCGGAAGCAAAGGATTGCATGCATTTCAAATTTAATTTTGTATAGCCCTAAATCTCAACAGTAATTATCTCGGAGGACTTTAAAAAAACCAATTTGCCATCACAGATCAGAGAAGCAAACAGTTAAAAAAACACACACACACAAAGAGTCATTGGTCCATAAGGGACAGATGTCCATAAATGTTGATAAATGTCCATAAATGTCATTGAGTGTTGAATGTCCTGAATCGTCACCACTGTCCTTAGACCCTCCTGCATCAGCAAGGAAAACTCTTTCCACAACACCAGAGCATCAGGAAAATGTCATAATAAAAAAATCTAATAATGAAAAAAACGGCAAAAAACAGAATGCTTTATAAACTTATTGTGTCATTCTTCAACAACAGATCAGAGAATCAAACAGTTCGAACACAGGAAATACATGAATAACAAACACTGGTTTATGTGGAGCAGGATGACCAATGTCCATGTTAAATGTTAATAAAAGTCCAAGTCAAATCTCCAAATAGCCTGGACACCTGCTCCCTCTGACTCTCCTCTGTGCAGAGGGGTGTGGCCTGGTCAAGGTGACCCTGCCTGGGCCGTCATGGCTGAGCTGAGGCGCAGGGAGTCTGGGCGTATGTTACTGTGTAGCACAGGGCCCTGGGTACTTCCAGCTCAGTGTGTCCCGGTGAGCAAACATCTGATGTCATTTCTCAGCACACAGCTGCCCCACATCAGGCTGAGGCCAAGGTGACCTGCCCCCCTGTCGAGAGGGGACTGTGCTAATGTCTGCTCACAACACAACTTTCAAATAGGTGCTTGTGAACAATTTCAATGTTATATTGTGCTTAATATGCATTTTTAATAAAGGGAAGCACATAGCAGATAGGAATCATGCAACAATACGCTCATGACGAGGTGCAATGCAAAGAGAACAATTTACAAAAAATGTAGGCCTTCACACTCAAAAATAAATGTCTAAAAACTTAGTTGAAGTTTCAAACGTTATAGCCTTCATTAAATCATTCTATTCTCTTTATTTGGGCCTCAACATATCAATATTTTAAGGTTGTAAATGAAGCTTTCTAACTTTCTATAAAGAGAAGCAAACCTGTGACCTGATGTTTGTACGTTGTGAGTGGTATCGGGGTCAAAACAAACGCACTGTAGAACTGTACTCTCTGATGTCACACGTTTGCTCTGCTCACGTATCACGCTGCTCGTGTGATAGACCGTAACATTTTCCTGTGTGTCACTTAGTTATTTGCTTTTGAGCGGAGCGTAACAAAGAGTGGGCCCATGCTCCAGAAAGTATATAATAATTATTAATATAGTGCTTTTCGCAGAGTCCCAAAGCCCTTTACAGTTTTTCCTTTCACTCCACACGTGGGATGATGGGAACAAGGTCGCCATGCAGGAGGCGCATGCCAGACCTTTTGTACATGTTTTAAGTGGTAGTTTCCTCGGGAAACCTCTGCAGACACGAGGAGAACATGCAAACTCCAAACAAAAAGGCCCTGCTTTTGTGGAATTGAACCCAGAAAACACGAGTGGAAACCATCGTGCCACCATTGCTATAGAGAGAGACACTGTCGCCCATAGTATTTGCCAAAAGCTGAAGAAGCCGATTTTAATGTAAGCTAGCTGTAGCCAATTTCCTTATATGGGCATATTTCAGTGTGGTCATGTTCTGTAACAGGGGTTGATCGAGCCTCGGCGATCCAAGATGGCGCCTTGTTCAAATCAACGGCTTGTGCTCAGTAGCGCATGTGCCACCAGAGGCCCCGAAACATTAGCGGAACTCAGATGTGTTGCTAACATGGTTGCTAACATGGTTGCCAAGGTAAGCTGGAGTTTCCCCCAACATTTAAATTGTGAGATCAACAAAGTTAATCTTATCTTATCTCATCAAATGAAGGCATCTGATTGGTCAATCTTTGTGGCTCATATCTGGATTTACAATATCAAAATGAAAACTCAGGGATCACAGAGAGCTCTAAACCACAGTCTTTTTAAGCTCCACATGGTGACTGTGACAAACCGTTACAAAGCTAGAGAAGTTTGCTTTTCAATGTAAGTCAATAGGAGCCAGAGTGAGTTGGAGCCAAACTTTGTTCATGAGCACTTCCCTCTGCTCCATCTACATACATGGACGACCTCTCTCAGCTCTGGGTGGAGCTGAGTGAGACCATGCTACAGAGCAGGTCCAGGCGCAGTATACAGAGCCTGGATCAGGAGGTGTGTGACGAGATGTGTGATAGCGTTTGTGTGTGTGTGTGTACGTGTGTGTGCATTTGTGTGTTTGTGGGGGGGATGTGGAGCCGCTGCAGGTCAGTGAGGTTGGCAGGCCCAGGCAGGCGGCTCCACATGGCGCGGGGACTGAGGGACACAGACAGATGGCACCTGGTGGGTGACAAACAATTAACAA